CCCTAGCCAGTTAGGCTCAGTGGATAGAGCATCGGCTTGCAGACTGATGGGTCCCAGGTTCCATTCCAGTCAAGGGCCTGTATCTCGGTTGCAGATTCCTCGCCCTGGTCGGGGTGCATGCGGGAGGCAACCAATCGATGTGTCTCTCTCACATTGATGTTTCTCTCTGTCTCTCCTTCTCCCTTCCACTCTCTCTAAAAATCAATGCAAAAATATCCTCGGGTGAGGACTAAAAAAAAAAAGATGAAAAAAACAGACAAGCAGAAAAAAATCCTTAATTCCAGTATGGAGGAAAAACAAGTTGGTGAATAACTTTCCAATTTTTCCATGTATATATTGACTTCTTAAAAGACCCACAATGCAAATATTGACTGTAATTTTTTTCTTAATATGGCATAAAATGTTTGTTTTATTTTTAAATAACTTATAAACATTTGATAACTAATCTTGTAATGCAGAATCTTGCTATAAAAGCATCTCACTATTATCCATAGATTCAGTTCATTCTCTTTAAAATGAACTTACAGGTATTACTATTTTTGTAACTGAAAAGCCGATACAAACAGGATATTCTTAGTTCTTATCCTCTTCTCTTTCACTGATAAAATTCTGTGAAGGCATTACACATAAACAAACTCTCCAGATGTTCCACTGGATGCTAATCTTCAGATGCCGCCAAGGCCTCAGAACCCACAGGCTGTGACACATCAGATGAAGGACTCTCTCCAGAGAGGTTAGGTGAAAGCCACACTAATGACATAAGCAAAATCTGCCCTGGGTCAAATGTTAACTGCACCCAGAAAAATATGTTATCAAGTGTAACCTGCCCTCATAACCCCTGGGTAGCAGCGGAAGGGAAGATCATGTTCTTAGCTTAGTTTACTGCCTCCTGGACTTTTCAGTATGTTACTCATTGAGCTATTTATGTGGTTATGATGATGCTGTTGCCAAGAATCTGTCTTGTTACTTTAGACTTTGTACCACCATCCTTGAGGCAGAATCCAGGAACTTCTTAAGCAATGAAATGTTTGCAGAATCTAGATGGCTTCCCTTGAATTGGTACTTAATTTCTTCAAACTGACTATTGATTCATGTAACTATGTAAGCATTCCTGTTTTTCTTTAGTGTTACCACTGCAAAAATTCTACAGCATCCAAACCATAATATATAAAAAGAGTACTTTTCTCCACAAAAGGGCTACCAGGATATAATGAATCTTTAAGAACAAACACAAGTTCATTCACTTCTCTTCACATATACATATATCTACATAGGGTCAATTTGTGCCAATGTAACTGGCATAGAAAGCATTTCTGTGATGTTCACTACTATAAATCTGAAGCAGAGTATGTGTAAATATTTTAACTTAGCTCTTTATCCCTAATAGCAAGTAATAGATCTCCTCTTCAAAAATTAAATTCAGAGAAGTATAAAAAAAGAAAAAAAATGATCAACGACAATCCTACTGACCAGAGAGGGGTTAGCCCAGCCGTGGGCAAACTACACCCCGCGGGCCGGATCCGGCCCTTTTGAAATGAATAAAACTAAAAAAAAAAAAAGACCGTACCCTTTTATGTAATGATGTTTACTTTGAATTTATATTAGTTCACACAAACACTCCATCCATGCTTTTGTTCCGGCCCTCCGGTCCAGTTTAAGAACCCATTGTGGCCCTCAAGTCAAAAAGTTTGCCCACCCCTGGGTTAGCCCCTCTTAATATACTGGCAGACTACTTCACAGTCACATCTCCAGGTAGTATAGTGCTTTATTTTAACCTTTACATAATACATGGAGATGACAATTTCTGCTGCATAAACATGGAAGAAATGATACACTGAACCAAAAGCATCAACTACAAAAATATTTTAAAAATTAGAAAAAGGGCCGTGCCGGTTTGGCTCAGTGGATAGACTGTCGGCCTGCGGACTGAAAGGTCCCAGGTTCGATTCCGGTCAAGGGCATGTACCTTGGTTGCGGGCACATCCCCAGTGGGAAGTGTGCAGGAGGTGGCTGATCGATGTTTCTCTCTCATCGATGTTTCTAACTCTCTATCTCTCTCTCCCTTCCTCTCTGTAAAAAATCAATAAAATATATTTAAAAAAAAAATTAGAAAAAGGCATTTCATAGCCACACTTGGGTAGTATTGAGTAGTCATTTTCAGCTAACTATTTCATACAAGGTCTCTGAACCAATCGGACCCTGGCAGAATTACCTCATTTTCTCAAATGGCTTTTTGTTAAAATGAATCAATACTCTCAAAACCTGACTTAAGATGTGGCTAGGTATTGGGAAATTTACTGAAAACTTTAAAAACAAAATAGGAAAAGATAAAATCAAGCAAACATCAAAGTTTTTCTGATTATTGGACCCAATAATCAGAAGTAGCAGGATCAAGTCAAAGGTATTAAATAAGGTACTTTTAAGTTATGTTTCATGTAAAACATGAAATCAGGTCTATCTTTTTAAAATGTTGAGTGCTTCTTAGTTTTATATATAGAGTTGGGCAAAAGTAGGTTTATAGTTGTGAGTACACGAAACAGTTTATTCTTGTATTACTAATTACTGTGTTCTTTTTCATATGAAGAAGTGTAAACCTACTTTTGTCCCGCCCTGTATATAAGTTTTCTAATAGTTTTGTATATATATGCATACGTGTGTATATACGTGTACACACACACACACACACACACACACACACATGCTAGAAGATTTAACTTCACACCTGTCAGCTAGTCGTTTTCTTTTTCCTCATTGGTTTTGAGCTAAGGATTCAGGTGAAGCTGACTGAACTCCATTACTGGGATAGTTTACAGAAAGGCTTCTCCTACATCCATTCCTTCCCCTCTCCCCTTTAAGAATATGGGTATCACACTGAATATGCATTGTGACTTTCCTCCCCAACACAGCTAACTTTGTTATGAAAAACTACTTATGACCAACTGCTTAAACAACTACAAAATATAAATGTATATAAATCTTTATCAAATCATTCTTTTCAAGTTTTTCAATTTTCTGCTATTAGAAATAGCAGAAATAATTTGTTAATGAACACATTTGCAGGATGGCAGTTTTTGAAGATATTAGGTAAAATTAATGATATTTTGCTGCTAATGGGATCAAATCTTTAAAAATGCCAAGAGGCACTCAAACAAAGTTAATTATCTATAATTTTCCTTTTATAATTGTGGCTTTCCTAAGCTAATTTGGTGGTTTCCTGTGAGAAGCTGGGTGAAATGTGGAAAATGTATTTTTCTTCTTGAAAAGACAAAAAAAAACAACACACCCCAAACAAACAACAAAACAAAAAACTAACTATCATAATTATCAAGACCCATGCTATAGCAGCTTAACAGTTTTCACTTACTATTTCTCCTAGTAGGACCACATTTTCTCCTCTGACCACAAAAATCCCTCGAGGAATATCACCGTATTTTTTGCCCACATGAATACGCTCCACAGTCTGATGTAGCACTAAATTAGCTATAAGTGTATAGGGAAAAAACAAAGATATTCAGTTTAAATTACTGGGTAAAGGTCTATAACTCAGTTATTTTGAGTAAAAAAGATTTAGTTAAACATGATTGCAAAACTTTCTGACTTTAGGAAAAACTAAAATTTCAAACACAATCTCCTATTTCTTTACAACACACCACTTAAGAGATGTTTAACCAATTACAAACAGAGAGTATCTAGGATTATGTTGCACTAATACATGAGTGATGGTGGGGAAAAGTTTAAAAAAATTAAATTCATTTATCAGTTAACTGTTAAAATGAACATGGCTGTAAGAAAATATAAATGAGTAGGGCACTTGGAAGTCTCTAAACAACTGCAAAGATTAAAACTCTATAGTTTTTTCTATGTTGAGGGGTGTGTGCATGTGATGAGTTACCAAAATATAACTTTGTTTCAGTACTTAGGATTTACTTAACCCAATACAAGCATCCATGAATTATGATACAGCAAAAACTCATTTTTTCATGTTGTCAGATAACCCACACCTGGTAATCTGAGAGTAGTCAGTATTTATTACTTTTCGCTCAAAGTAATCTGATGAATTTGACTTAAGATTTAGAACCCTGCCCAGTTGGTGTGGTTCAGTGGTTGAGTGATGACCCATGATCCGGTTCAATTCCCGATCAAGGCACATGCCTGGGTTGTGGGCTTAATTCCCATTAGGGAGCGTGCAGGAGGCAGCCGACTGATGTCTCTCTCTCATTGATGTTTTTATCCCTCTCCTCTAAAATCAATAAAAATGTATTTTTAAAAAAGATTTAGATCTCCCAATATGTTAAGAATTATTTTTTTCTTTGCCTTATTTGAAGAAAGCAGGTATCTATATTTTTTAACTTCTATAACTCTTATAAGTATTTCAATTACATTGTTATTTTCCTCATGCCCAAATCCACTGACCTAGAAGATGTCCAACAAATGTTGATATGAATTAAGAAGTTTCTTGAAACAAAAGCAAACATAGATCTCTTTAGAAAAATGCAAGATGCAAAACAAAGACTGAGATTCTTGAGTCGGATGTATCCTTAAGTGAAAAATCTTGAGCTTAATGTTGGGGTCCCTAACAAGCTTCAGAAAGTGCCTTCTATCCAATTTTCATTGGATGGGGGGGATTACCTACAGTGCAAGAACTGCTTTGAAGAGTAGTCGCACCCAAGCCAATGTACAAATGAGCAGCTTTTTCAGCGGACTGAGTTTATTTCTATCTTTTGGCTCCCTCTAATGGGGAAAATAAAAACAATAGTCCAAGACATTATAATCTTATGTTCTAGTGAAAACCAGTTTTAGAAATACAAGCTTGAAAATACAAGCTTTTGAATCATCTTGTCATAATTTAGGAAACAATGATGTAATGACTCAGGACAGTATTCCATTATGCCAGACACATGAAAAAATTGCAGGTAAATGCCTTACAATATGAAATAACAAAAGTACAACCAGTAGCTCTTATTATCCAGAGTGTAAAGAAGTCTATAACTAATACATACCAAATTGGTCAATGCTTCTCAAAAAGCCTATAAGTGTCCTTCCATCTCGCAGCAGGACCAAGTGCTTTTCTGGGAACAGGAAAAAAGATCTTTAAAAAGTGAAAACTGTTAGCTTCAGTGAGCTTACAGGGTAACAATAAATACAAAGTTGTTAGTTTAAGTTCTACCACTTCCTCTTCCAATGTACTTAAGTTGGAGTTCATTAAGAAACTGGAGGACCAAGTTAGCCCGGGGTTTAGATTAAAACAGCAATTTTCAACCAGTGTGCCCCAGGAATTCTACTTTTTTTTTTAAGAGAGAAAAAAAGGGAGAGGGAGAAAGAGATAGAAATATCAATGTGAGAGCAAAACACCGATTGGCTGCCTCCTACATACCCCCTACCAGGGATTGAGCCCGCAACCTGGGCATGTGCCCTGAACGGAATCGCGAACCAGTGATCTCTTAGTGCAATACCTGACAATGTAGACCAGCGGTTCTCAACTTGTGGGTCGTGACCCCTTTGGGGGTCGAACGACCCTTTCGCAGGGGTCGCCTAAGACCATCGCAAAACACATATATAATTACATATTGTTTTTGTGATTAATCACTATGCTTTAATTATGTATGTTTAATTTGTAACAATGAAAATACATCCTGCATATCAGATATTTACATTACGATTCATAACAGTAGCAAAATTACAGTTATGAAGTAGCAAGGAAAATAATTTTATGGTTGGGGGTCACCACAACATGAGGAACTGTATTAAAGGGTCGCGGCATTAGGAAGGTTGAGAGCCACTGCCTTAGACTGTCAAATAAAAAAAAGGACAACAGCCAACACAACAATAGCTGTCTGCTGTGAATGAATCAAAATCGTACCTTTTTTTGGTCAGATTGGCAAAAACATATTTTTTGGTGTGCCACAGACTTTTAGTAATTAGTTTATGTGTGCCATGAGATGAAAAGGGTTGAAAATCACTGAATTAAGAGAAGCAGAGTAGTGTGGCAGAGTGGAAAAGGGACTGGATGAGTAGCCAGAAAGCCTGACTGGTCTAGATACTCATGTTTGAGTTACTCCTCCATGTCTACTTAGTGTCATGTCAGTTTCTATATCTGCAAATTGAGAAGTTTAGTCTGCATGATCTTTGTGATCTTAATTCTAGGATTGTTTCTTAGAAAAGTTTCTATTTCAACATTTTGGAATTATGAATCAGGGGAGGTTTTAAATAAAAACAATGTCCCAGACATGTAAAAGGAGGATGCTGATAATAAGCTAGAGCAAAAATACAATAATATTTACTGAGTGCTATGTACTGTTCTGGGGCCTAGATATACATTAGAGAATAAGACTCAAGAAGTAACCAACCTTATGAACTTATATTCCTGGTGGAGGAAGGCAAACAAAATAACCTATTATGATTAGTACAAAGGTATAATATGTAAGATAGCAAGGTATATGATGAAGAGAGGGAATGTAGCTACGGAAGAGAGTGGCTAGAGGATGGCCAGGGAAAATCTCTCTGAAGAGGTGACTTAGAGCTGACTCTGAAGAATGATGATAAGCCAGCCACTAGAATAGCTAGCAAAGTTCATTCATTTGCTGTTTTAATACTACGCATAAAGTACCATCTAGGTGTAGGACAGAGGAAAAGACAGTGATTCTTCCCTGAAAGAATTTACAACTGAGTTCCACAAGAAAATACATCTTAATTATATGAGACTGAGAGAAACTCAGTATGTAGCTGGAGTATGTATCTGGATTGGTCCTTGAAAAGTAGATAATTTTTGGCCTTGGGAATAGTGACAGGGAAGGGGAGGGAAGTCTGTAATTAGGCAGGAGAAAAGGGCAATGTAACCATATGTGTGGTGAAAAGTTGAGGGTATGAAGGGAAATAACAGTAAACAATGTCAAAAAGAACTGGGAACAGGTCGATTTGAAGACTGAACTGGCAAAAAAGGGAGAGCGACTGAGGCTATTCCCGGAGTCTGAGACATAAAGAAGAGACCTGAACCAAGGTAGAGAGGAGAAGGGAGAGATGAGAGAACTAAGACTGTGCAGTTGTAAGTAACAGAGCTAATTGAGAGTGTATATGTGGGTATGTGTGAGAAAGTGTGGTGCTGAAGAGATAAATTAAAGAACACATAGGCATTTTGAGTCGTCATGGCAGGGAGGACCAGTTACCAAAAGTTTGTAATTCTGAAGTGCTATCAGGACACTTATATAGAAGTGTCAAGACAGTTGGAAATGTAAGACTGGAATGGCAAAGAGGTCAGAAATAGAGAGATTTTGGATAAGGCCACAGATAGGTGATATAATTATTAAAGTCCAGGAGATCTCCTACAGACTTAAAAAAAGAAGCAAGCCAAACAGAGAGGTGATATAATATTAAAGTCCCCGAGATTTCCTAGAGACTTAAAGAAAGAAGCAGGCCAAAGAGGGAACCCAAGAGACAATCTATTTTAGGGAACATAAGAGTTGAAGTAAGAAATCAAGTGCCAGTGTCAGAGAAATCAAGAGCACAGATTAAGAATCTAGTATCACAATGCTGCAGAGGGGAAGGGAAAACTCAGGAGTGCATTATTAGACCGAGGCCTTTAAAGACTGGAGCTGCAGCAGTGTGATGACAACAAAAATCAATTATGGGGTAACAGGTGGTCTATTGCAGATGGCCTGAAAGAGTCAAAATGGAGATGGCTCAAGAGGTTTGGGGGTAAGGATAGAAAAAAAGGGATGGAAGTTTAATGGAGAGACACAACTGGAAAAAAAACACACACGATAAGGACAGAATAGAACATAAATGAAGGGAAAAAACCCAGGGAGAAAAAGGATATTAATGATAGAAGGTTCCAGAAGTAGTGGGAGAAAAGACATAAATTGAGAGGGAGGAATACTTCCCACTCAAATGAAAGGATCGGTGAAAATACTAGAGAGACTAAGGAGAGAGGAGGAAAGTGGGGGGGGGGGCAGTGAAAGGCACATATGAAATGGTTTTGAATTTTTCAGTAGAGGAAGCTTGGAATCTACAAAAAAAGAGGTTAGAAGGCTTGAGAACAAAAATTATTATTTTAAAGATTTTTAAAATTGATTTTTAGAGAAAGAGGGGGAGGGGGAGAGAGAGAGAAACATCATGTGAAAGTGAAGCATCCATTGGCTGCCTCCTGCATGCTCCCTACTGGGGATCCAGCCCGAAACATGGGCATGTGCTGTGACCAGGAATGGAACTAGCAATCTTCCAGTGCACAGGATGTAGCCCAACCAACTGAACCCACACCGGCAAAGAGCCACAAATTATTTTTAGTAAAAATACAGAGTGTGTTAGGGCCTGAAATAATTCAGATATACACAAGAGAGGTGAGGGCCAAAGGGCATACACAGACAGCTAAAACTTAAGTTTTCATTATATTACAGATAGGTTTGTACAGTGGTTATTTATATGAATTTGGTCCAATTTATCCTGCATTTCCCTTCAATAGCAAAATCACTAATTTAGATTTTAAAAATAATTTCAGACGATAAAAAAGTTTAGTTATACACTCATTCTTTAATTTGCACACATAGTAACTGTAGAGACTTGTAACTTGTTTGGAACTATGTGTAACCATTTTGCAGCAATTGCAAGTTAATGAGACAAATCACACGATTTAAACGATTACAAAAATGTTACTTGAGGAATAATTCACAGATGAGAGTTTAGCAGAAGGAAAGACGGGACAACTGTAACTGGCTCCTCTTTTGTACAGGACTGAGCTCCTCTTCAGGACAATGACGAGGAATAGGGAGGCTTCTTAGTAAAAGCAAAAAGAAAACGGCCCTGACCGGTTTGGCTCAGTGGATAGAGCATCGGCCTGCAGACTGAAGGGTCCCAGGTTCGATTCCGGTCAAGGGCATGTACCTTGGTTGCGGGCACATCCCCAGTAGGGGGTGTTCAGGAGGCAGCTGATCGATGTTTCTAACTCTCTATCCCTCTCCCTTCCTCTCTGTAAAAAATCAATAAAATATATTAAAAAAAAAAAAGCAAAAGAAAACGTCTAACGGGGTAGGGGTGGGAAGAAGTTTCAAGTGACTCAGCCTTTCCACAAAAGTCAGTCAATACCTTGTCCGGCAATGGTCTCTTCTACCACAACCTGCAAGTGCTGAAGACCCTGCCGGTAAAATACTGCTAATGGCTACAGAGTTTATGCAGAAAGCCTACGTTTACTGCCAATTAAATCCAAATGCTGTTTCTTAATAGTTTCATTTCTTGAATCCTTTCTCTAAGTATCTGCACCAGTAACAACCTGGAACTTCGAAATATCGCAGAGGAAGACAGCTGACTGGGCGGGGGCAGATTTCGCGTTTGGTCCCAGGCAGCGCGTCCCGCGGGAGGAGGACGGAACTGTCCAGCGTGGGGCTGAGCAGCCGGGGAACTGGGCTGCGAGGAGCAGCACAGACCTAACAGGGGGGCTAGGAGGTGGGCAAACGGTGCGTCCCCGAGGAGGACGTCAACGCCAAACACCAGAACTGTGCTAAGCACACACCGACACTCATGCTGCGAGCTCCCTCGTCGGGGAGGAAGGGGCTCACCCAGACTTCACCCGAAGGAGATGAGCAACTCACTGTCGATGTCCTCGATGAGGCTGGCGGTGCCGGGCATATAGTTCATGTTGAGCTGAGATAAGGCTGCAACGTAAAGCGGCGAAGGGCCCGCGCGTCCAACGCCTCCTTCCTCCTACCGTGGTCGCCGCCTCAGCGGGACTGGGACGGGGACCCAGACGGGACCCACACTTCTGCCCCGGCTTTCAGCCGCCGGGGCACGCCGGAAGCTCCTCCATATTATCCCTACCCACTTCCGGTACCACGTGCTGTCTCCAGGAAGAGGCGGGGCCATCGTGCGGTCCTGGGACACCCTTTCCCCACCCCTGAGGAGAGGGGAAAAGGAATCTAGATGGCACAGGCGGAGGGAAAATGAATTCTCCTTTTTAAGGAACACGGTGCTGCCCCTCGTTTTCCTGGTCCCTCGATCCCCAGAGTCACAGCGATCCATCCCTCAACCCTCCGGACTCGGGAGCCGAAGGGGCGGGACTTAGCCTGGGATTGGCTATTGTTGGCCGACCCCCTTCACGGCTGTCCATTCCCGCTCGCTGGCTGGCGCCTGCGCAGTGGGCCGGTGTGGGGGGCGGGAAGCTCCTAGGGGCAGTAGAGCCTATGTCGGCCCTAAGGCGCTCGGGCTATGGCCCCAGTGATGGTTCGTCTTATGGCCGCTACTACGGGCCTGGGGGTGGAGATGTGCCGGTGCACCCACCTCCGCCTTTATATCCTCCTCGTCCTGAACCTCCCCAGCCTCCCATTTCCTGGCGGGTGCGCGGGGGCGGCCCGGCGGAGACCACCTGGCCGGGAGAAGGCGGAGGAGGCGATGGCTACTATCCCTCTGGAGGCACCTGGACGGAGCCGGGTCGAGCTGGGGGAAGCCACCAGGTAAGCTCTGTGCCATTTGTCCTAGGGGGTCCTTTGGGGGTGAGGGCCGTGGAGATAGATACACCTCCAGAGTTCGTCATGGATCGGGTTTCATATTTGTTTACCTTTTGGGGAAGTATGTAGCGATAAGAGACTGGGATATGCTCGTGTTTTCCTTGCCCCTCCTTTTCCACTTCGACCATAATCAATGTGTATTACCATTAAAAAAGGGGGGAAAGATCCTGCGCTGACTTGCTAAGCTAAATAGAGGATGCGGAATGTCTCGCCTGGGAGCGACGCGGGGCTGAAGTGACCCAGCTCTGCTGGTCGAGTTCGCAATTTATCCTGCGTGGCTGTCAGGCCGGCTCCCGCGCAGGGAGGTGGCTGCAGCCCCCGCCGCCTCCCAGCGGCCCCTCCCGCGCCGGGAGGAATCTGGGCATTTAGCCTTTGCCCGGAATGCTCTGCCCAGGGTTGAATCACGAATAATCAGTGTTGGAAAGCAATTGCGTGTGTGTGTGTGTGTGTGTGTGTGTGTGTGTGTGTGTGAGAGAGGGGGGGGGGGGGGGGGGGGGGGGGGTTCTTCACGGCGACTGCAACATAAATGTTATTACACACAGCATCCCTATTTTACGATTAAAGAACCGTTGGCTCTCAGAGGTCAACGGGTTTGCTCAGTATAATCGGACCTATGCCATTTTATTTCTTGTGTTTCTGCCAGAAAGCTACAGTACTTACGCTTTGTTAATGCAGTATTCATCCTAGAGAATTCTCATCATATGGTGTGGGACACATCTCTCCTTTCGTTCAGGAATTATGGCATCCTCATTGTTGGAAGATGTAACAGTGAAATTCCCATACATTGCTGATGGGGATGTAAAATGGTTCAGTGCTTTGGAATATGGTCTGGCAGTTGCTCCAAACGTTAAGCGTAGAGCTAGCATATTACTCAGCAAGTCTGCTCTTAGAGACATATCCAAGAGAACTGAAAACATATGTCCACATAAAAACTTGTACACGTATATTCAAATTCAAGTAGCCAAAAAGTGGAAATAATTCAAATGCCTATCAACTGAATAGATAAAATATGGAATATTCATAACAATGGAATTATTTAGCCATAGAAAAGAAAGTACTGATACATAACATTCTGCAACATGGATGAACCTGGAAAACCTCCTGCTACATGAACGAAGCCAGTTGGAAAGACCACATATTTTATGATTTCATTTATGTGAAATGTCCAGATAGGCAAATCTATAAAGATAGGAAGCTTAGTGGTTGCCAGAGTCTGGGGGACTGGGGACATTGGGGGTGGTAGATAAAGGGTATGGTTTCTTTTGGGGGGGATGATGAAAATATTCTGGAATTAGATTGTGATGATGATTGCACAACTTTGACTATACTAAAAACCATTGAGGTCAGGCCGGTGTTGCTCAGTGGTTACAGCGCTGGCCTGCTCCCAAAGGGTAGAGGGTTCGATTCCCCCTCAAGGACACATACCTGGGTTGCAGGTTCAATCCTCGGCCTGGTGCAGGTGCATGTGCATATGGGAGACTACCAGTCAATGTATCTCTCTCACATCTATGTTTTCTCTCCCTCTCTGTCTCTCCCTCTCTCCCTCGCCCTCCCTTTTATTCTTTAAAAATCAATGGAAAAAAATCCTTGGGTGAATATTAACCTAAATAAATAAATAAATACCATTGAATTGTGCACTTTAAAAGGGTGGGTTTTACCTGGTCTTGCTTGACAAAGCCATATATGACAAGCTCTGTAAGGAAGTTCTCAACTACAAGCTTATAACCCCAGCTGTGGTCTCCGAGGCGCTGAAGATTCACGGCTCCTTGGCCAGGGCAGCCCTTCAGGAGCTACTTAGTAAAGGACTTATTAAACTAGTCTCAAGCACAGAGCTCAAGTGATTTACACCAGAAACACCCCAGCTGCTGGAGAAGATGCATGAACAACAGATCTAACCAGCTGTACATTTTGAAAAATAAACATTTATTAAATTAAAAAAAAGAAGGGTGGGTTTTATAGTATGTTATATCTTAAAAATTGTGTGAGAAAAAAACATGTAGTAGTGAAAGGTTAATTGTGAAGAAGGGTCTGTATTTGCTCTGTCTAATCTGGAATAAGTAGCCTGTGAGACTTTAATCCCATGGTAGAGTGATGAAACGCTCAGCCTATAAATAGGCAAACTAGATGGAAGATCAATTGAAGGGAAGGAGGAGAGGAGAAGTCTTTTTTTCTCTTTAATATATATTTATTTATTTCAGAGAGGAAGGGCGAGGGAGAGTGATAGAAAGAAACATCAATGATGAGAGAGAATCATTGATTGGCTGCCTCCTGCATGCCCCACACTGGGGATTGAGCCCACAACCCCGGGCATGTGCCCTGACTGGGAGTTGAACCATGACCTCCTGGTTCATAGGTCAGCCACTGAGCCATGCCGGCTGGGTGAGAGAAGTCTTAAACTGAAGACTTCTGCGTGGGCTTGTTGTATTACCAAAACAAAAGTGTGTTAGATGCTCAATAAGTATTCGTTAATTGAAAAAAATTTTTAGAAAGTGTGTTTTCAGAGTAAGGTTACAGAAGTTAAGATTTTAAAACTGGAGAGGCAGTTGTAAGCCATGGTTGGAGCATAGGCATGCACATAGGGTGGGTGAAGGTGCTGGAGTAGTTGGATGTAAAGCTGGAATGTGTAATGGTCATTTGTAAACCATTTCAAGAGTTTATCTTTCTGGTTGATGTTCCTGAAACTTGAAAAGTATAGGATTGTAATTTATGCAGCAATAGAAAATTCATGCAAAAGATACGCATGCTGTCATGGATGTTGCAAATGTTTCTTTCCAAATTCCTTATTTGTCTTTTAACTTTATTTTGGTTTGGACATATAAGTTTTACATTTACCTATAATCAAATATGTTAAACAAACAAACAAAAGGTATTAGGGGCCTTTTAAAACCTTATTACTCGCCTGGCCAGTGTGGCTCGATGGTGGTTGAGCGTTGACCACAGTTCGACTCCTGGTCAGGGCACATGCCCAGATTGTGGGCTCCATCCCTAGTGGGGGCGTTCAGGAAGCAGCTGATCAATGATTCTTTCTCATCATTGATGTTTCTATCTTTCTCTCCTTCTCCCTTCGTCTCTGAAATAAAAATATAAAAAAAACAACAACACAAAAAACCCTTATTACTAAAAAAATGTGGTCCTTGGACCAGAGGCTTCAGTATTGCTTGGAGGTTGCTGGAAATGCAGAATCTCCTGCTCTAGATTTACTGCTGCAGTTTAGTAAGATACGCAGGTGATTTGTATGCACACTCATGTTTGAGAGGCATTACTCCGTGGAATTGAATATAGTGAGATGATGTTGTACTAAACTACTACAAAGACCTGACTCTATCTTTACATATTTAAATATAGCTATACTTAGAGCTGTGTAGTTTGCTCCCTGAGCTAGTAGCATCTGCATTACCTAGGAGCTTGTTGGAAATGCTGTATCTCAGGCCCTGCCCCAGATGCACTGAATCAGAATGTGCATTTTACCAAGATCCCTAGATGATTTACATGTTCTCCCAGAACAAGTCATCCAGAGAGAGTTCGTGAAAGCTGGAAGGCACAGATGAGATTACAACCTAATCTCAGAAGTGATATACCATCATATTGGTCATAGAGATCAACCCTGGCACAATGTGGGAAGCAAGTTCACAAGGGTATGAATACAGGAGGCAGGGATCATGGGGGAGCTGTTTTGGAGGAGGATTATAATGGCAAGGAATGGAGAGACAGCAAGCTCAGTTAGGCTCCCAAAGTAGTCCAGGAGAGAGGAACTTAAATGAATTTGAAACAATGTCTGAATGTGGTCAGGTTTTTTTTTTTTTCAACATTGTATTGTAAAAATTTTCAAACATACAGAAAAGTTGAAAGAATTATACAGGGAATATCTATATATCCACCACCTAGATTCTATAAATAGCATTTATTATATTTGCTTTATCACACCTATCTTATTTTTTGGATTCATTTCAAAACAAGTTGCATGGATTTGAAAGACATTTTCCAAGGTATTTATCAACTGATAGTGAGAGATGCAGGAGAAAGAGAAGGTGATTCTGAGGTTTTAGTATTTCATATGAATAAAGGTTTCATAGGAATAAAAACGAAGAGGAAAAGGTTTTTATGGAAAGATATGGCTTAGTTTTGTGCCAGAAGAACTAGTGATTGGTTAATAGAGGAGCTTAAAAAATATGAAATGTAAAGACTTGGTAAGGGTTTATGTACTGCCTTTCTTTCATTTCTGCTGGAAACCAATTAGTCACAGTAGTTAGTCATGTGCCAAGCTCTGGATGCAATGTATGCAGTTGATTAAAGAGAAGTTTGTGATTTTCTGTTCTTATTTTTTTTATGTCGAATTTTAGAGTCTTTGTGGCATCCAGTATTTATTGTCTGTGGTAACAAAACAATAGATGTGAAGCTTAGGAAGGAAAATGGGGGCTGGAGATAGTGATTTGAGAGAGTCATCAAATATAAGCATAACTGAATTACCAAACTGAATAGTGTTGCCAGGGGAGATCTTTGAGAATCTAGAATAGGTTACAGCAAAAGAGGATCAAAAAGAATACAATGAGAGAGAACCCTCCAAAAGGTAGTAGGAAAATCAGGAAAGTCATACAATGCAAACCAAGCAAGGACACAATTATTTTGCAGACAAGTGATGTGAGAATTGAAAAGAAACTGGTGGATTTGGCAGTAAAAAGATGTTGTTGATTTTCATGGTGGGAGTTTAATATAGTATTAAAGTAATCAATGGGAGGTTTGGATAAGGAGATAGTGTAGACTAGTATACTTCCAGAGTTTGTTATTAAGTGAGAAAGAAAGTAGTCACTTGACTGGGAAGCAGGATAGAGGGAAGAATTTTTAGGATTAGGTGGCTCAAGTGTGTTTGGAAGCAGAGGAGAGTAACCTAGTAGATTGGGGGAAAGGATGCAACCAAAAGGATGGAATATGGTTGGGGGTGAGGAAAAGTTGAGAAACTTCTTCCTGAGCCAGAGGAGATGATAGAGTAAGTTTGGAGTTGGAGAGAGGGACATTGAGGGATTTACAGCCCTTGGCATCCTTTCTTAGTGAAGATGGAGGGAGAGACACTTAGCATATTAGCCTTTTATATA